TCCGACAGGTGAGCCGGGCGGGAGATCCCCTCCTCGGATACGCGCACCCGAGGGGAGGGAGGATGAATCAGGGCTGAGGTGTCCCCCCCCCGCGAGTATCGCGGGTCCCCCTCTTGTGCTTATCTAATTCCCTTTTGAAGCCGCCCTGTGGCAGTGAATTCCATGTGTGAATCAATAATGTCCCCCCCCCAAGTCACTTCAGTCTTGAGGATCTACGAAACCAGCGTGGTGTTGTGGTTAAGAGTGGCAGACTGTGATCTGGAGCCATGCCCCCTCTAAGCTGTGGAGTCCTGTGAGCTAAAATTCTCCTTCGTGAGCTCCTGGCATAAAAGTTGTGAGCGAGCGGTTTGGCTGCTGCCTCAATGAGTTTGCTCTGGAGCCCTCCTTCCTGAGCTAAGGCAAAAATGTGTGAGCCGGAGGCTAAAAAACTGTGAGCTAGCTCACACCAACTCAGCTTAGAGGGAACACTGATCTGGAGAACGGGGTTTGATTCTCCACTCCTCCACATGAAGCCTGCTGGGGGACCTTGGGCTAGTCACAGCAGTCTCACAACTCCCTCAGCCTCACCGGCCTCACAAGGTGCCTGTTGTGGAGGGAGGAAGGGAAGGTGATTGCAAGCTGCTCTGAGACTCCTGATAGAAAAGCGGGGTATAAAAGCCTACTCTTCTTCTCCAATACCAGGTGGTAGGGTTATCACATCCCTCCTGGTAGACAGTGCGGGATAGGAGCAGGAGGGAGGCCTAGCCAATGTTTCAGCCAGGGGTCATTTTGTAGAAAAAGAGGTGCAGCATAACTCATTTGCATATGCCACACCCCCTGACATCGCCGGAAGTGTGTCAGAAGGCAACACCCACCGCTCAGGCTCCACTGGACTGTTTTGGGTTGCTAGCTATTGGGGGGGGGGAACGTGCAGATCTGCTCTCGCTGAGGAGGGAGAGCTTGTACCTGAATAAAACTTGGTCTTAAAGGTGCCACTGGACTGTTTTGGACCGGGGGGCCAGGGGAGGGCTCTGAAACTTACCTGGCTGCTTCTTGCTCTGACTGAGGGCTGCTGGGAGCAGGGGGCGGGGCTTGTTGCATGTGCCCGCCCCCTGGGCTCTTTACTGCCGGAGCTCCGCTCCTGTGCGCTCCTGCAGGAAATGACCCCTGGTTTCAGCTATGTGTCTATATCACTCCTGACATGACCTGGAAGTGACATCATCAAACACTGGTGTCACAGTGAAGCTCTGGTATTTGGGCAAAAACTCTATGGTAAATTTGCCTCCTACCATAGAGTTTTGGCCCAAATACTAGAGTGTCACCCCAGCAATGCTGACAGGATGGCATCACTTCCGGATCACATTGAAAGTGATATAGACTTGTTGCTGCAATGTCAACTGGGCCTTGCTCTTACTCCGGGTAATTCTCCCCTGCTGGCCAGCTGATCGGGGGCAGGGTGGTTGGGCCTTCCGGTGGGGGATCCCTGTCTGGCTATGTTGTTAGTTCAGCTCTGCTGCAAGAACTGAATTCCCCTCCACTGCCTCTTTTGTCCTCGCAGGAGCGCTGGCCCAAGACAAGCAGAAATCCCCCCGACACACATATAAGCTGAAGATGACCACGAAGGATGTGTTCAACCTTAAGACCTTGTTCCCTCGCAATGAAGATAAAGATCTGCTATGGTACAATTACATAGGCGATGAAATCATCCTCTCCGTCTTCACTATTTTCTTCTGCATTCTTGGACTGGTGGGGAACGGAAATATCATCTGGCTCCTTGGCTTCCGTATTAAAAGAAAACCTTTCGCCATCTACATCCTGAACCTGGCTGTTGCAGACTTTGGATCCCTTGTATTTCTGCTTCCTTTAGATATATGTTTAAACCCGCCATCTTTCCATGACCGTCGTGAAATCCCTGCTGCTCTTGGCTGGCTTTTGATTAGTCTCTTCGCATCAATGTTCAGCAGTTGTCAACTTCTCCTGACAGCCATTAGCATTGACAGGTGGGTGTCTGTCCTCGTCCCAAATTGGTACCGATGCCACCAGTCACCAGTGTTCTCCACCACCGTGTGTGCCTTCATATGGGTTCTCTCTTTTGCCCTGATTGGAGTGCCCTCATTTCTATTACCAATGGATCTGATACGAGGGGATTACGCATATTTTCTTCTTTGGGGTCTCATTGTGACTACTTTGGTTTGTCTCTTACTGGTGATCGTCTCCACTCTGACCCTGTTCTTCAAAGTCTGCTTGAAACCACCAAGGTGCCAGTGTGAGAATCTTCTGAAAGCGACCTTGCTTCTTCTTCTCTCCTTCCTCTTCTTTTCTGTTCTGAGCTATGCCTCTTTCAGCATACTTCCCGAAATGCTACCAGCCTACGCTTTCTTTTGGATTTCCCTAAAGGGTAGTATCAATCCACTGATTTATTTCATGGCTGGAAGAGAGAGGGGGGGGAAATTTCAGGAGAGAATGAAGGTCATCCTCCAGAGAGTTTTCAAGGAGGAGAGAGACACCAGGATGGAGCTACAACCACATACCCAGACAAGGTTGTGATGCCCTCATGAGAACATCGAGCCTTTAGCTTGTAGAGCATCGTTAAAATGATCCAGATTCCATTGGACCTTTCACTTAAAGATGTTAAAAGAGCTCAACTGAACTGCCACAGATCCTGTAGCTAAGAACAATGATACCAACTTGGTCATTCCACATGATATGTACAGTATATCCCAACAGTTCCTTAAGAAACTGGGTTACCAGTTTCCCAAAGGTTGACTTTTTGAACTCGGCTAAAATCATGAGAAAACTTACCTCTAATAAAAAGGTAAAGGTAAAGGTTCCCTTCCTCGAAAGCCAGTCGAATCCGACTCTAGGGTTGTGGTGCTCATCTCCGTTTCAAAGCCGAAGAGCCAGTGCTGTCTGAAGACGTTTCCGTGGTCATGTGGCCGGCATGACTAAACACCAAGGCGCACGGAACGCTGTTCCCTTCCCACCGAAGTGGTACCTGTTTATCTACTTGCAATTTCTTGCTTTCGAACTGCTAGGTTGGCAGGAGCTGGAACTAGAGATGGGAGCTCACTCCGTCATGCTGCACACCCAGGTCTCGAACTGCTGAACTACCGACCTTCCACAGCCTGCAGTTCAGCGTCTTAACCACTTGAGCCACCGCAGCTCCTATACCTGTAATATCGAGCCTTTAAAAATACTGCTATGAATTTCAGGCTGATTTCGCACAAGGAGCTGTGCCGCTGTCATGCCTCCCTTTGCCCCGTTTCCATTGGTCAATTTCCCACTCGGAGCCACGTGGCCGCATTTTGACCTGATTTCCCCCGTGGTTTCATGATCCTGTTTCTTGAGGATCATGAAACCGCGGGGGAAATCAGGTCAAAATGCGGCCACGTGGCTCCGAGTGGGAAATTGACCAATGGAAAGGGGGCAAAGGGAGGCGCGACAGCAGCGCAGCTCCTTGTACAAAATCAGTCTCAGTTTACTCAAATCTGTTCCTGTCTTCTGTAACGACATCTGATCCTTTGATTGAACATTTCCTGGCATGAAGGACCCTAAAATGAATACTTCCTGCATACACACATGAACACACATGAAGCTGCCTTCTACTGAATCAGACCCTTGGTCCATCAGAGTCAGTCTTGTCTACTCAGACTGGCAGCGACTCTCCAGGGTCTCAGGTGGAGGTCTTCCACATCACCTGCTGCCTGGTCTTTTTAGCGGGAGATGCAGGGGATTGAACCACTGATTTCCTGCATTCCAAGCAGAGGCTCTACCACTGAGCCACAGCCCCTGCCACACACAGAGTGACAACTTAAAAAAAAAGTTTATTGGTGCTATAACACCTCTACGTAGTGCACCATTTCTCACACGGTGATTATGAAGGTGAAATTCGGAATAGGAGAGGAAGAGCTCAGTTCCTGGAAGGGGGGAGCCCTATTGCCTGTGGGGGAGTTGCATAAATGTCTTCTGGGGGGAATGGATGCAGGATTTATGGACATGCTTCTTGATGCTTATGTGGGGACGATAATGTACTGATATGATACCACGAGAGAGTAGTGCAAATCGGTTCAGTGTTTTTCAGTGGTCACGTGTAGGTTTGCCAACTCTGAGTTCAGAAATTCCTGGAGACTTGAGAGTAGGTCCTTGGGAGGAACCTCAGCAGGATATAATGCCAAAGAGTCCACCCTCTGAAGGAGACACTTTCTTCAAGGAAACTGATCTCTGTAGTCTAGGGGTCAGTTGTGATTCTGGGAGGCCTCCAGGCCCCGTCTGGAGGTTGGCAACCCTATGTGAATCCTCAGCATACCCACCAGCATCTGCTCCTGGTATTCCCTTCCAGTTTTCCCTTGACCTTTCTTATCTTCCCCCACTTTCAGGCTTCTGAGCAGAGAGGTGCATTTTTCTCCTTAGATTCCTCCGCAGAGTGATACAAGAAATCAATGCTCATAGTTGACAATAGGATAATTATTGCAATGATTATATCATATTGTATTAACTTGATATCCTTTGCTTTCGACAAATATTGGGATGCTCACACCCTTGGAACTGTTACCAAATGCTTTGCCCGATCAGCATTCCGGGTTAATAAATACGTATGTAAAATGTCTCTCTGTCTCATTTATTTTAGAGGAAGAAGGGGGAGAAACCTGGAGCTTTCTTTCTTTGAAATTCCCTGCAATTTCACACAAAGCATGCTGCAGTAATCCAGCCTTGAGTTTACAGTAGCACGGATTAGTCCGGTTAGTAGGGATTCCAGATCCCCCAGAAGGGGGGGGGGTCCCCCAGGCACCTCCCCCCATTACCCACACCAAGGAGGGGTGAAGCTGGAAATAAACACAGGATGGCTATGTCACTCTGGGTTTGGGGCAAAACTCATTGGTAGAAGCAAATTCTACCAACATGGGGGTGGCACTCTGGGTTTTGGGCAAAACTCTATGGTAGAAGCTGATTCTAACATAGAAGTATTGCCTCTATGTAGGCATCATCACCCCAACATCCCCAAATGTGCTTAACAGATTGTCGCCCCCAATGTCCCCAAAGAGAAGTTTGAAAAGTGACTTTCACCAACTTGCTTCACAAAAAACGTTTCTTTTTTTTTTCAAAAGCTTTAAGTTCAGAATGCATGTCACACACAAGCTTTCCTTTCCCCTGCCACCTTAGATTCAGTGTGTTCAGATGTTCTGTGGTATCGGTTAAGAAAGCCAAATCAAAAATCCATCCAGGGTCAGAAAATACTTCTTCACCTTTTTCTTTCTCCTTGAGAAAGACATCAGCTTCATGACCAAGAGTGAAAAAAACATTTGAGGACTTTTCCTCTGGCACGCCACCTGACTTCTGCATGGTACAATCAGAGGTCATTTCGGGGGGGATTGTGGGGGATCGCAGTTCCCCCGGGTGAGGCACATGACGAAGCCCCGCCCCCTGCTTCCGGCCGCCCCGCTTCCGGCCCTCATTCAGCCAGGAGGAGGCAGGAGAAGAGGGAGGGTAAGTTGCTTCCTCCCCGCCTCTCCCCACCCCTGCCTGCCTGGGGCCAGGGAGGGCCTTGGCGGGGCTTCCTTGCACTCCCGCCGGCCTTGCAGGTCCACCGCCGGGCCCCTCATGGGGCTCGGCAGTGGAGCTGCAAGGCCGGCAGCGGTGGCCGGGACTGTTGGGGGCGGGGTGTGTGGCCTTATGACACATTTCCAGTGATGCCAGGAGGTGTGGCCTTATGACACACTTCCGGTGATGTCAGGGGGTGTGGCATATGCTAATGCGTTATGCTAATGAGTTCCCCTAGCTCTTTTTCTACGAAACGACCCCTGGGTACAATACATCTCCATATTCTTCATCTATCTCTGAGAGAAAAAAATTAAACTGAGGGTGAGCGAGGCCATGTAATTAATGCTGGATACAACAATACGCATCACACTTTCCCACTGAAGAATCTTACTACACAAGGCTTGCTGATGGATAATGCAGTGAAATTGGATGGGAATTGTACCATTTAATTTCAATACCGTTGATTCTTGAAGCTACACCAGTTTTACTTCCCACCATATTTCTTGCACCATCAGTTGTGATGCTTTTCAATTTACACCAACTCAGACCATGATTTTCTACTGATTCACACACCCTCAAGAAAATGCTTTCTGCAGTTGTGGTGCCTTTCAAACTCTTTGGTGCACACAACTCTTCTGTAATTCTGAAGTTGGAATCTATCCCCCTGATAAATATTAGTAGCTGAGCCGTGTCTATAATGTCATTGCTCCCATCTAATGCAAATGGGGAACAAAATCAAAACTTTTTGTCTTGACAATCAGTGACCTATGCAGCTCTTCTCCTAGTTCTTCAACACTCCTGGTGATTGTAGATGCAGATAAACTGACACAACTAACATGAAATACCTTCTCAGGGAACATTTCCTCCGTTACCTTAACCCTGGCCTTTTTAACAAATTCACCATCAGTGAATGGCCTACCACTCTCAGCAGTACACTTAGCAGCATGATAGCTGGCCTTCACAGCAGACAGGTTCTCCTCAACATGCTTTCTAAAACTATTTTGCTGCAAAAACATTGATTGTTAAAGAGAATTTATCTTGTTCACTCACACCTCTCCTTGATATGTGGAGTAGCTCTTGTGACAGGATTCAAAGTTCCCTTTAACATTGTATTCCTTTAATACTGAGAGAGTGTCAAGAC